GTTACGCAAGCCCCTTCGCCACGACAAGGCAGTGATCCATGAAGGGGAACTGATTGCAATAGATACATTAAAAAAAAAAAAACCCTCAAACTCTTCTAGTAGTTGTTTGGACTTATGTAGGTCATTTCTGGTAGGTCTATTATTCCCAGTCTGTATCTTTAAAGCCAGATATTTAAACCCTAAAGCACATGCCCTAAGCTTTATTCTAATATGGCATGTTGTGTTCTTTACCACATATCTGCAGCATAGAAGCATGGATAAAACACCATTTTAACAGGTTTCCACCTTGCAGCATTTACTTGCAACTTTCCCTTTGAGTGAGTGATAAGGTAACTGAAATATAACAGCTGAGATAATTGAATGATTGCCAGCAGCAATTCAGTATCGTGGTGATTTATACAAGGCATCCATCCTGGAAATGAAGCTATGACACTGGTTTTAGTAGCAGTACAGCCAGCTGCAATGTATGGTAACACTCACCAACTCAGATAAATAATGCAGAAAATGTGTCAATTTATGGCTTTCCTAGGCTCACCATCAGAAAATGTTAATTCCATGGCAAGAGTGTCACTGATGCGCTATATCTGACTTCCTCCAAAGCAGTTTAAATCAAAGCCCAATTACTTGCATGTTAATGACACAATCGTAGTTCACTGCCTGTTTTAAGTGGTTTCTGCAATGCACTGTAATGTCTAACTGACTTCCTGATGTGCTTTTCTGACAGACTACTAAACAGCAGGCACAAATCAAACTCTGTAAAATATTTGTCTACAGCCTGACATTTCTCACAAGGAAATGTCAAAAACTATGTTAAAACAGAGTTTATCTCACTGTACAATGCGACTAAGACAACATTCCTGAGTAGTTATAAATGAAAGTTTTCATTTGCTTATGCAGCTGTAAAATATCATGATTTTTAAAATAAGGTTCTTGCTTCCTCAGCAGAAAGTTATCTAACAACAGCACACTGCGAACTTTTTTTTCTCACTAGTAAGTTTGAAGTGTTTATTGTAGCCATTGGAGCAAATCAAGTCTGCAACTAGAGATTGAGTAATTAAATTATGAATGGTTGGACAGGTTTCTTCCCCTACAGGCAGACTTATGACCTGGCTTTCACACAAACAATATGTGATAATTAAATTGGAGCATATTACTTTGAGCACAGCTCTGAGACTTCATTACCAGAGATATATAAAGATTTTTGTGTCCACATAAAACAGAGAACAATGGCACATATTAATTTATGAATGATTAACTGACAATAAACCACGACTTCCTATTGCAGAAGGGTCTTTATATAATGTTCCCAAAGCAACTTCTTTTGCCAGTTGTTCGTCAACTGTTTAGAAAGATGGAAGTTTTGAAATAAAAAAATTAGGATATAAACAGGTTATAATTAAGGTTCGTATTATCCAGACAGTGGCATCGCTTTGTGGCCCTGCTTTGAGGGGAGATTCAACTGAGTCACCATCAAATCACCTCATCAAAGCTTTGTGCATTTTAACACTCGCGCAAACTTGAATATGCCTTTCACTGGAGCTCATGATGAAAGACATCACAAATTACACCAAACTATTAGAAATATCTGCTTGTGAAAATTGGGAATCTTGCATTTATATACTATTTCCTGTTCCTTGGTATTACAAGGGAAGGAAGGCAGTAAAGAGAGAAAGAAAGCAATACGTGGTGATTCACAAAAGCTGGAATTAAATTGTCATTTTCTCAGTTGTACTAAAGATTATAAAGTTAATCAGATATCAATACATGTTCTTAATTTCGTTATTTCTTGACATTTTTTCCTTATAGGTGCTGGCTTACATAATGGGCAGTGGCATTCTGTATCTTTGTCAACCAAAAAGAATCGTGTAACCTTAATGGTAGATAATGAAGCAATGTCTACATCGCATATGTTAGTACCTATGCACATATTTTCAGGAGACACCTATTACTTTGGAGGTGAGATATGTTTTATTTTCCAGTCAAAACACAGGATTTGAGTTTGAAAAACCATAAATGAAATGCGGTTTCATATGTGAGTATTATTAGTGACATTTATTGTAGATTTCAGTTGAACTTCATCTCCACTGCTTCTGGGTTTAGCATAGGACCAAGGAAATTACTCAATCTTCATAGTTGATTTTGGTGGAGATATTGATTTTTCAGGCTTCTTGAAGAGGATTCCTCTGATTTAACGTTATACAAATTAAGCCATTTCTTAATGTAGAGCTGTAATAACTAATATTAAAGCCTGCTCACTGTCTTTCCTTGAATGTCATCCTGGCTACAGTATTATTGTAAAATCATCTAAGCCATCAGCTGACTGCACATAAAATGGCTGTACTACTCCCTTTTTGCCTGAAAATTACAATATTGGCACAACACAAAAATGCATGTACAATAATGGGAATCTCAATGAAAACTCTAAGAGGAGTTTCAACATTGTAAAACAGAATGGAAAAGTGCAGGAGAGTTGAACAAGGAAGTTTCCTCTGCTTACTCCACAACTTTTTGAGAATATCTAAAATGAAGCCCCCACATCTTCTTTGATAAAAGATACATATTCTTTTTCCATGCCTTGTCACACATGTCTTCCCCTGAAGAGGGATGAAAACGTTTATCTCAGAAATGTAAAAGAAGCACATTTCGCGCTGTGTGTGTGTGTGTTTGTGTGTTAAAATCTGCTCTCAAGGTTCATTTGTTCTCAATATTATGTTACATGCTGTGAATTGTCCATGATGTTTTCAGCAGAAAAATGTTTATTGAGAACATGTAACTTCTCTTGCCACTGATGCATTTTATTGTGTTTTATATTTTATTTTATTTTATTTTATTTTATTTTATTTTATTTTATTTATTTTTCTCTGTCTCTCCCTTCAGGGTAGAACTTAAGCTTGCTGCATAACTCTGCATGTGGCCTTTGTCCTAATTTGACACAGTCCTCAGACTAATTTAAACATATGTTCTGTTGCAACATTTATTTTGTTGATAATTTCTACAGGCATAGCTGAAACCTAAATTTGCTCACTATGTATTTTTGGAATATCTGGTGAGAGTGATTGTGTGTGGTACAGCAGCCGAGCTGTAGTACTGTGTCAAACTGATGGTTTCAGTCCTATAAATAATTTTTAACTAAAGGCAAAACCACATTTGTGCAGAAAATATACATACATAGGCCATATGAATGCCATCTATATAATTTAAAAGAACATGAATTGCTGGATGGAAAACAAAATAAAGATAGGATTTATTCCTCATTTTCATATAAAATTCCTTCCAACAAAAAGTCTGAATGTTCATCTCCCAGGGTTATAATGGAGCATTTGTATAAAGCAAAGAAGGTTTAATACAACTGTTACTATTATTTCTTGTAGTTTCACTTTGAATGGGAATTTCCTTACTTCAGTTATAAACAGGCTTCATTATGAACTGTGTTTAAGTTATTGAATATTATGAGACAAGAAGTCCTTTGACTAATAAGACTTAGAAGTAATACTTCTGGATTAATATCAATGAAGGGTTAGGGTGCATTAATCATAAGGCACCACTGTCATATCAGAAAAAGAAATCACTAACGGAAAAGGCATCATTTGTCATGTTTCATAGCCTATTGGCATTCATATTTCAAACTGATGACTATTCAAAGGACTTTTGCCACTGGAAGGGGAATTTCAGAGAATATGAAAACTTACAAATTTGCATATCCTCTTTATGATCTAATTGATGTATTTTCCTTCCTGCTAGCATCTTATGGACACTACATCACTTTCTATTTATTTCCATTTTTACTTTTGTTGATACATTGACAGTGCTAATCTTAAAAATAAGAAGCATAGCCTTTTTTATAATAATGTTAATTATGTTAAAAATCAGTATGTTCAGTATAGCTTGCATTTTATTAAAGAAAAACAACAACACACACACAGTGGTATTATACTGTTTCCATGGTAATTCCATCAATGGGAAAAGTTAATCAGATGCTTCTTAATACTTTGCACAAAGCATATAAGAGAACTGTATTTCCTCAAGTCATTAAAAGAATACTATTTATTTTGTTCTGGAATTTCAGAATTACATATGAAATAAGATCGAATCTTGAATTATACTTACCAGTACATGGCAAGTTTGTCATTGGGACTTGCTTCTAAGCAGGTATTTACAACATTACACTGTAAGTTTAATTATTTTTCCCAATTAATCACTTTCACGTTTTACTTTTCAGGATGCCCTATTAATGTCAACAATTCAGAATGTAAGAACCCCTATAGTAGCTTCCTTGGATGTTTGAAACAAATTTCCATTGATGGCAAACCTGTAGATTTAATTTCAGTTCAAAAAAATTCAGTGGGACATTTCAGCGACCTTCAGATAGATTTGTGTGGCATTATAGACAGGTAAGAGATATTATATTTCAGTGAAAAGTATTGATTTTTGATTGCTGCTGAGATTAAAACGTTTAGATATTTTCAATTTGCTTTTCTTTCTGGTCCTTATATAAGTTGGGGATATATAAAGACAAGATGACAACTGCTTTTTCCTTATGGTGAACTTTAAAAAGTGGGAAGTTTTAGTTATTTGAAGAAAGGAAGAAAAATTTCTTGTTTCCCCAGGAACTACTTTTGTCCTAGAATCTCAAATTGTCCCACAGTGCAAAGTTTCTTGATCTATGTTTATGACTGTTTTCTTTGGCTTGGCAGCCCTTAGCAAATTATGCTCAACACTATATTAAGGACAACATGGGCATTAACATGTGTTGTGAAATGTACCTGGGTCATAGATAATAAATGCATTTGCTATAATTTGCTCTGTTTGGTGTGTACAGATTACCTATACACTTTAGATTATCTTTCCTGTTTTATGAGACCACATTTCATAATTTATCCAGGGAAGGCATAGGAACAGACAGATGAAAAGATTACGATGAATATTAAAATTCTACATTGTTCTACCCAGTTGCCAAACCCAATAAGCAGATCTGTTGCCTTCCTTTCCTAAGGCATAAACAGAATGTTTCTATACATTCATAATTCACAGCAATAACAAAAGACTGGCCAGTATTAAATTTAACAGTTTCAGGATTTAAAAGATCTTTTTTCCTTCAAAAGAATTTCTCATCTGTATGTTACACTTTTCTATAGTCTAGAATTTTATACCCAGCAATTTATGTCATTCCTATGTTATGTTGTGAGGGTTAGGGTGAAGATCTGATGAAATAATGTAGTGGTAGAAAATGCTGTTTCTCATCATAGCTACAATGGGTCGATAACATTCTAACATTTATGAGGCAATGCAACCCTCTAATATGAGCCTGAAAAAAAAGTTCTGTCTGTTTAATATTGTAACTCTTCAAGTAACCACAACATCTGTTCAGGCTTGTCCAAAAGCTGTTTTTAAGGATCACAGAAAGGCTGTCGTGCAAAAGCGTAAGAATAAATTTCAGAATAAATTTCAAAGGGTGCCCAGCATAGTCATGATTCTGTAAGAAGCAAGAGCAGTGTTGTCCAAACTTGGCCACTTTAAGATGAGTGGACTTCAAGTCCCAGAATTCCCCAGCCAGCCATGCT